ATGTTATTAATTACACACAGAGAAAATACTAATGTTTGTTCAGTCATTGTGTTTATAGACTTTACAAACATCAGATTAGTCTAAACGGTGATATAGTGACGTGAAAAATGTGATATATACATATATATATAGCTAAACTCAGCAAGGTAAACAACAAGGCGATTCCCATTTACACAGTGGTAAGAGTGCTGGACCGGAAGTGTCGCACAAAAAAACGGAAGCTGGCTGCGTTCTGTTTTGCCTCCGTGTTTCCGTGAAAAATAAGGTGGATATTTAGAATATTTTTACCGTCAGACTGCTCTTTCTGACGGGGAACTGGAATCGTTATCTCAAGGCCAATAATGGTCTACTGCTGCCTTCCCCGGTTCGTGTGCAGTGTTGGGCTCATTACTCTAAAAATGTAATATATTACTCGTTACTCTGTTCAAGAATTATCAGTGTTGCCTGTACCATTATACTGAGGGGCCAATTCCAGCACGTGAATAGGCCATAGCACAACACAGCAGGATGTCAAGTGGGCCGAACCCGAGCACAATGTTTGATTTGGTATCTTTGTGACATGCCTGCACATCATGACCAAAATGAGTCCACTGTCTGTTGCATTGTAAGTCAGCAGTGACCTAAAAACAAAAGTAAGGTTGTAACCAGTTGTTTGGTTTTTGGGGAAACTGCGATTTTATTACTGACATTTATTAGCAATTAGCTGCTAACTGCTAACAGCTACTTTTCCAAATGTCCTGCAGTGGGTTGCACTCATAACACTTTGTCAAAACATCACGCCTGTCCCGTCCTGTCAGCTGTTCCTTTCACACAAACGTTGATTTGACCCTGTTACTCCCTCCTCTGAGGGGAGGTGGGATTATGGCGTGATTTTCCCGCCTTAAAGACGCAGAGTCAGAGGAGCTCCTGCTTCAGTCAGAGGAGATTTTTCACACGTCGCTGCTTCAGTTCAAGTTTCACTAAAAAGATTTTTTACTGAGATTTCATTCAGTGAACAGACTGATGCTCTGCAGACTTCTACTCCTCAACACCTCCTCCTCCTCCTTTATATATACACCTCCTCTTTGGTTAGAACAAACATCTCCTCAACAACAGCTCCTCCTCATAATACAACTATCTCTCAATAAACCTCTTCCTCCTCCTTAATAACACCTCCTCCTCCCCTATATGTACACCTCCTCCCTCATAATAAACCTCCTCACATTCTAAGTGGCCCTCATCCCCCTCCTCCTCCTCCTCCTCCTCCTCCTCATAATACACCTCTTCAGTGCAAATGAACAACTCCTCTTCTCTTCTCTTTCTATATATTTACTTCCTCACTCTTAATAAACCTCCTGTTCCTCCTCCTCCTCCCCTACTTCCTCTTCATTAAGAACAAACATCTTCTTCTCCTCAACATCTCCTCCTCTTCCTCCTCCTTAATAACACCCTCTCCTCTATATACACCTCCACTCTCTAAATATATGTCCCATTCTGTGTGACCCCCACCTTCTACTCCTCCTTCTCATAAAACACCTCCTCTTCAATAAGAATGAAGGACTTCACCTTAATAACACCTCGTCCTCCTCCTCTCATTCTGAGTGACCCTTACCTCCTCCCAAAGTACACCTCCTCATCTGTAAGAACAACTTGCACTCATGCACTCTCATTAACACACCTCCTCCTCCTCCTCTGTAACATACAGTCTGATTACTCCTCACTGTGTTACTTCCTCCTGATGATTCACCTCCTCTTTAATGAGAAATAACCGCACCACCTCCTTCTCAGCCTGCTCCTCACAACAGAACATGTGTAGATACATGCACTCCCATTATTACACCTTAACTGCACTTTACTCCTTACAGCACGTGAAGGAGGAGGTACATTTAGGAGCATGTATAGATGCATGCACTCCCATTATTGCACCTCCTCCTGCTCCTCAGTAACATAGTGTAGTCTATGTTTACTCCTCAGTTTGTGTTACTTGCTCCTGATGATTCACCTCCTCCTTCACAACCTGCTCCTCACAACAGAACATGTGTAGACATGCACTCTTGTTATTACACCTCCTCCTCCTCCTCTTCCTCTTCCTCCTCAACAATACCTCCTCCTCTATATGTACAACTCCTCTCTCTTTATAAACCTCCTCCCATTCTGAGTGACCCTCACCTCCTCCTCCCCTGCTCCTCCTCAGTAACATACAGTCTGTTTACTCCTCAGTTTGTGTTACTTCCTCCTGATGATTCACCTCCTCTTTAATGATAAAGTAACTCCACCTCCTCCTTCACATCCTGCTCCTCAGAATGAAACGTATGATTACACGCACTCTCATTATTACACCTTAACTCCATGTTACTCCTGAAAGCATCTCCTCCTTCACAGCCTGTAGGAGCATGTGTAGATACATGCACTTTCATTATTGCACCTCCTCCTCCTGCTCCTCCTCAGTGACATACAGTCTGTTTAGTCCTCACTGTATTACTTCCTCCTGATGATTCACCTCCTCCTTCACAACCTGCTCCTCACAACAGAACATGTGTAGACACATGCACTCCCATTACTGCACCTCCTCCTCCTGCTCCTCCTGCTCCTCAGTAACATAGTGTATGTTTACTCCTCACTGTGTTACCTCCTCCTGATGATTCACCTCCTCTTTAGTAAGGAGTAACTCCACTTAATGCACCTCCTGCTCCTCACATGCACTCCCATTGTTGCACCTCCTCCTCTGCTTAATGCACCTCCATCAGTCAGTTCCTGTGTGAACCTCCTCCTGCTGCCATTCATTAGAACCGCTGAGAGCAGACAAAGAGCAGCTTCTATAGCACACACACACACACACGGTGTCACCTCACACTGATCCCAGAGCAGCTGGTAGTTTACAGTTGTGTTTTACACGGTGACAGATGAGACCTTCAGGTGCACACACACACACACACACACACACACACACACACACACACACAAACGGTGCACGGAGGGATGGATGGAGGATGTGACCGACAGCTCGCAGCTCGTGTGTCCGGGCAGCGGGCTGCATGTCTCGGCTCAATGTGCTGACAGCGCCGTTTTACCTGCACGAGCACAAACACTCCGACAAACCGGGTTTGTCGGTCAGAACGGCCAAGAACGCGCCCCGGAGCCTCGTGCCACACACAGGGTACAAACAAACCGGGATCCCGGTGTTCCGTTACCTTCATTGTTCCTGCCGTTTTCCTCCGGTTCCTCCAGCCCCGCGCGACGCGTCTCTTCTCCGCTCCCGTTAAAAATCCTCTCCGGGCTTTTAGTGTATTGATCGCTCCCTCGGTGCTGCTGCTGCTGCTGCGTGCATGCGCGAGCGTGCGCGGAAAGAGGGGGCGCGTGCACGCGTGACAGTGCGTGATGTCCACTGCAGGTAAAAACGCAAAGCGCTGAAAGGTGGAAGATCACACACACACACACACACACACACACACTCTGTGATTGTGTGTGTGTGTGTGTGTGTGTGTGTGTATGCGTGTGTATGTGTGTGTGAGGGCCGCAGCAGCTTTACTACAGAGAGAGAGAGAGCAATGACCAGTTAATGTCTCTCCACCATCCTCCTCCTCTCTCTGAGAGGCAATAAGGAAAGACAGAGTGATGATAGAGGAAGTGTGTGTGTGTGTGTGTGTGTGTGTGTGTGTGTGTGTGTGCGTGGAGGGGGGCGGGGCACCAGGAAGGAAAGAGGAAGGAAGTGAGAGAGAGGAAGCTCCGCCCCCAGAGGGAGGGGTCTGTGATGATGAGGAGGGTATTCAGGGTGATAGGCTGACATCAGCGTGTGTGTGTGTGTGTGTGTGTGTGTGTGTGTGTGTGTGTGTGTGCGTGTGTGTGTGTGTGTGTAGACAGGGCTGTAAACAGAGATCCTGACGTCAGGAGTCCGACCCCCCTCATCGTCAGATTTTGAAACCAGAATTAAAAATCTGTCCTGTTTTTATGCACATTTTCAATTTACCCATAAAAACCCTGCAAACCAGAGACACAGTACATGATGAAGAAGATGATGATGATGATGATTTGTTTTTATTTTGTGTCACACACACAAACGTGCCAAACCCTCATGGGTTAACAACTCAGGGTGATATGGCCAAAACTCAAATTTTTCATGACCATCCAATCCAAAGAAATCAACACAGACACAGGTCATGTGACTGTAAGGTGCGGCCCTCGTGTCTTCATATACAGTAAAACAAGAAATGACCCTCATTCTCAACTTCACTTTAATTACTCAACAAACAAATTATGTTTGCATGTTATTATGTAATGGAAGTATGTTTAAACAGCACTGTGGTTACTGTGTGATCAGGATTAGGTGCAAAAAACATTTGGTTATGTTTAGAAAAAGCAGTGACGTCTCTGTATCACTGTCCCAGCTGGGTAAACACCAGCTGTTCCAAAACAACCCAGACGCTCAAGAACTAACCCTGCAGTTCCTCTAATGTCCACTAGAGGCTGGCTCCAACAGTGAGTCAGTCCCCACAGACCTCCATGTTCACATGTAGAAATAAACATGTTTACAGCCTGGTACAAAACAGTTTGGTCTCTGGAGCTCATTTCAACATTCATGACGACTGTACAGACTGAGTTTATATAGAACTCACCTGTTTGTATTTTATTAAGGATTAAAGTTACAGTTAATGAAGGGGGCGGGGCCTCTTTGAGTGACAGGCTGTCAGATCCACCCCTCGCTCCTCCACAGCCCAAATATGGTCAACATTTTCTCCTGGTCCCTGCGTTATAGATTAGGTTTACAGTTTCCTGTTCTGAGGTCTGAAGGTTTCTGTCCGTCACAGTGAAGTCTGATCTTCTGTCTTTGGTTGTTTGTCTTGATCAGTGATGAAGATGATCCAGTGATGAAGATGGTCCAGTGATGAAGAAGACCAACCAGAAACATGAAGACTCAAATTCAGACCGCCAGAGGTTTGTGACACAGACGTGTGTATAAAGGTGGATTTATGTGTGCGGGCATGACATTTTACACATGAGCTTCTTCCTGTTTGTCTGTGGGACAGATGTGACAGATGTGACAGCTTTGCACTAATGTGATCAACTTCTCCATATTTATCACTGGGGATGCACTCGATTAGTCGTCCGCCCCCTCGCTAGTCGGCACCAGTTGGTTAGTTGGTTAAACCTATTAGTGTTTTATTCATGTACAAAGCTGCTTAACTGTCATGCAGCCGCCCACCACTAGTGGGTGTTACAGAGCTGTCAGACAGCAGTCCCCCTCCCCACAGTAATGCACTGAGGTTTTGAAACAGCATGGTGAGAAATAGGAGAGATGTCCTCTCACAAAACCAGCGTGGTTTGGCAGCACTTTGATCTAGAAAATGAAAACAAGATAGCATGTAGGCTGTGTCAGAAAATAAACTGACATATAATCACTCCACTGGAACAATGTGCAACCACATTCAACTCAAGCATTTCAATGTTAAGCTGCACAGAGTGGCGGTGCTCGCCACACTCAGACCAATTTGACATTGTTCACCCGGAGATGTTGTGATCCCGCCCAGTCTGAGAAGATAACGCAGTGACCTCGCGAGATATGCTTCCACTATGCAAGAAACATCTCATCGATGCACTGGGACGCATCCTCAGTGATGTATCCTGGGGTCATTGAGTGTTTCGGGTCTCGCAACATCAGACACCCTCACCCAGGCGATCCAGCCGGGTGTGATCAGGCCCCAACTTGCATCCCAGTAGCAACCCACGGGTCAGCCCTCTGCGGCTTCACTTGCAGATTGGATGATCCTCTTCTTGGCCGCCCCTGTGATGCCCAATTGGCTGAGGACTTTGCAGAGTGAGTATCCTGCAAAGCCTCTACAGCCAACTTCTATGGGCTCGTAGAATGTCCTCCAGCCCCTGCCCCTGCTGTAACGGGGTGTCATAGTATCCAAATGCAGCACTCAGAGAGGCAGGCAGACAGTTAGTAATGACTTTAATTAAGCTTGCAGCAGACAGGGAAATGGAGAGGAATAATCCAGCAGGTAAAAATCGACACAGCACAAACACAGAGACCAGTGTGGCAACACAGCAAGAGTCTCTGCTTAACAGGGAGTCACAGGTTGTAAGGACAAAACTCACACTGTTGCGACAAGGCAGGAAATCTCCAAGCAGCCACAGGAACAGGCAGACAGAAACCAGGAGGGCAAAAGCAGAACTCGTGGTCGGGCACAGAAAACCGGCAATTACCAGGATTCAGGCAAGGTTGGCTGGTCAAAGGCAGGCAACAGGAAATCAGTCTGCGAAGTAGTGCTGGAGAGTCTTGCATGCAAAGAGGTGAAGAACAATCTGGCAGTGAGTGTGTGGAGAGCAGGAGTCTTTATACTGAGCCAGTAAGTGATTGAAAGCAGGTGAGTGGAGTTGGGCTGATGAGGTGGCAGGCTGAGAAGAGCAGATGAGCAGAGTTCCCTTGATGAGATGGGTGTGGCTGGCAGTCAGCAGCGGAACAGGTGGGGTAAACGGAAAAGTACTGCATGAGGTGAGCAGAGGAGCAGAATTGTGACACCTGCACTCCTCCATCAGTTCCTGGTACTTTGCGCGTTTCCTCTCATTGGCTTCCTCAATCCACTCTTCCCAGGGCACTGTGAGTTCCAGCATGATCAGATGTTTTGAAGCCTCAGAGGTGATGATCATGTCTGGCCGGAGGGATGTTGTTGTAATGTGCTGGGGGAACTTCAGCTGCTTTCCCAGGTTGACCTACAGCTGCCAATCATTGGCTGTGTGGAGAAGGCCTGTTGTTGTCTGTGGACGCACTCGTGGTTTCTCTTCAGCTTTGATGAAGGGGATTGTCTTCTTAGGAGCATGATGGTGTTTGCTGGTGCTGACGCTATGCTCTCAGCAACTGCTTTGAGCACCTGGTCATGGCGCCAACGATAGCGGCCATCAGCCAGGGCCTTTGGGCAGCTGCTGAGGAGGTGTTCTAAGGAGCCTCTTCCAGAGCAAAGGAGGCAGGAAGGTGTCTCACTCTTCCACCCAGGGATGGAGGTTTGCGGGGCTTGGCAGAACATCACAGACTACTTGCACAAGGAACCGGACGTGATGGAAATCTGCCTGCATGATGTTAGACCAGGTGACCTTGCGCTGCAACGTGCTCTCCCACCTTGTCCATGACCCCTGCTGCCAGAATTCAACTGCCCTGCTCACTCGCTCTCCCTCCACGCCTGCCCAGAACTCTTCCTGGAGTAGCTGGTGTCATTCCATGCCCCAGGCCTTGCTGATCTGGGTCTTTGGGAAGTAGCCCAAGCCTGCTCTTCCTGTTGCCAAGGTCCCCACCAGTGCCTTTTGCCTGAAGCGTGACTCCACCACCTCCACTGCCTTCTCTGCCTTCCATTTCCTCCCTGTCCTCACCTTAATGCTGGCTAATGACACCTTACAGTCCTGGGAATCTCTGTACTGTAGGGCTTCTCTCGTGCATGCCACCATGAATTCTTCCGTGAGACCGCTGAAGGGTAAGTGCACAGTGTTACTCGTCCCGTACAGTGCAGCGCTGGTGAGGCTGCAGGGAAGTCCCAGCCCCTTCCGAAGAAAGCCACTGATCTTCCTTCTGAGGGATTCCACTGTTGTCACTGAGACTGCGTAGACGAGCAGAGCATTTACCAGGCAGACCAGACTTGTCCACCTTAGTGAGCCAAGCTCCAAGCTCTTCATTGGACTTCTGGATGGCAGCAGAGTCTTTTAGGCTAGAGTCGAAAATCTTCCCCAAGCTCTTGACTGGTTGCTCCGTGATGGATAGGATTACAGTTCCTGCGATTAAAAAACAGAATTTGCACCATCTTCTTCAGCACCATGGACCTTGACTTGGAGGGCTTGAAACTCATTCTTGCCCATGTGATGAGTCTCTCAAGTCCTGTTGTGATGGTAAGGTCATCCATATAGGCTCTTATGGGGGGCTGTCATACACCTGACTTTGTTAGGGGCCCCCTGCATTCCACTTCGGCAGTCTTGACCACCATGTTCATCGCAAGGGCGAAGAGGGTAACAGAGATGGTGCAGCCTGCTATTATTCCTTTCCCAAGGTGATGCCAGTCTGATGTTTCTGACCCAGAAGTGACCCTGAGCCTGAAATTGTTGTAATAATCCAGGATCAGGTCCTTGATCTTGCTGGGAACATGGTGGAGGTGTAGAGCAACCAGTTTGTGTTGCATCGACTCGTAGGTGTTGGTCAGGTCCAACCACAACACAGCTTGGTTGCCTCTGTTCTCATGGGCCTCTCTGATGAGCTGTGTGATTATACCAGTGTGCTCTAGGCAGCTGGGAGCTCCAGGAATCCCGCCCTCTGCACTGAAGGGTCAATGTAGTTGTTCTTGAGGAGAAACTTGGTCAGTCTCCGGGAGACGCTGAAAAACACCTTCCCTTCAACACTCAGTAGTGAGATTGTCCGAAACTGGTTGATGTTCTTCGAGTTCTCCTCCTTGGGAATCCAAACTCCCTCATGCGCACCT